ACACGAGACACCACTTTGCATGAGATACCACTTTATATGAGATACATCTTTACACGATTTACCACTTTACATGAGATGCCACTCTAAGGCCTTGCAACGATTTTTCCAGACTTCGGTTGATTCAAAATTAATTTATTCTATCACTGTTTGTAATACAGTGTGCAGGAGACAAGTCTGTTTGAAAGACATACACATTTTCAGTTTCATGACATCTAGTTTTTGTCATGAATATCATCATAATATAGTCTTTCTTAATTTAAACAGTAGATTAGTAAGTTAGGTCCCCTGGGGATAAATTAAGCCATGAAAAAACAAAACACTATGCAATGTTAAGCCTTCAGGATCTTCAATATTTTTTAAATTTTAAACTCATAAACAATTTGCATAGATGTACATAATTATCACAAGGGGTTATAACAAGTTCATATAATTATTGACACATACACAAACAGGGCACACATATATAAAAAGTCCATATAACAATCCTTATTGACACATACATAAACAGGGCACACATACAAACATCTAACAAGCGCATTTAACCATTGACACATACATTAACAGGACACACATACACACATATAAGAAGCAATAAAAAGTCCATATAACAATCCTTATTGACACATACATAAACAGGGCACACATACAAACATCTAACAAGCGCATTTAACCATTGACACATACATTAACAGGACACACATACACACATATAAGAAGCGCATTTAACCATTGACACATACATTAACAGGACACACATACACACATATAAGAAGCACATTTAACTATTGACGCATACATAAACAGGACACACATACACACATATAAGAAGCACATTTAACTATTGACGCATACATAAACAGGACACACATACACACATATAAGAAGCACATTTAACTATTGACGCATACACAAACAGGACACACATACACACATATAAGAAGCACATTTAACTATTGACGCATACATTAACAGGACAAATATAACAAGCACATCTACTTTAAAACACCAACTTTTCCCGCCTTTACATGTCTATATTTAGATCCTTCCAAGTACTCTGTGCAATATTCTTGAATATATTTTTTTTAAATTTCTAGTTTCCTATATAAGATATATTTAACAGAAATTCATATTCAAGGGAATTCATCGACATTTTGACACTTGAATTAATATCTTCGTGGTACTTTTTTAGAATATTTAAATTTTTAATTTTAAGTTGATGAATGTGAATTCAGCTGTATATGGCCAAGCAAGTCAGAGTTTTACTTGAATCATATTTTCTGGCGAAATTTAAATGTAGAGACCATCGTGAAATAACAAGCCAATATATATTAACTGGAAAAATATGGTAGATAGCATCATTAGAGTATTAAATATATCATATCGGAATTCAGTTCAGTGAGAATTTCTCGAAAAGAACAAATATAACAATGTTAATAGGTTTATACGATATTTAAAAAAACAACAACCAATGTACAACCTTGTAAAAAAACTAAAGTGATTATAGTCTGTTGTATAAGTAAAATAAAAGGACACTTTCTGACAGAAACTGACCTTGAAACCGTCTTATTAAACTTTAGAGCGTGCAATAATCTCGGGGGCCATGGGACAAGGGGGACAAGAGACGCTAAATGTACGATTGCGCTTGATATATCAAAATCGATGATGACGATTTGAGAACCGTTGACGAGAATGTTATCCCGTTTGATTTCACTGTGAACAACTCCATGTAAAAGCAGGTACATCACCCCCCTTATCACAAACGCACACACACACACACATGCAGGAACTAATGTTCGATCACTCCCTGCGTCATCTTTCCTATCAGGATACAGAAGGCAGCGACCTCACAGTATAGCGTGGTGATAGCGTTACTGTCAGAGACAGACCTGACCTTCTCAAACACTATGAAGTCAGGATACAGAGGACAACGCACTCACAGTATGGAATGGTGATAGCCTGACTGTCAGAGACGGATCTGACCTTCTCAAACACTATGACATTGGGATGATGCAGACCTTTCTACTAGTTCACCTGATTTCATTATCTCCTCTTTGTCTTTCCGTCACGTCCCGATGACTTTGAAAACTTTCTTCACGGACTTGCCTTACCTAAGATGTGTGAGGTATACGACACATTCGGTCGCAGTCAGAATGTCTTCATGTCTCGAGTTATAAGTTATAGACTGAAAAGACAACCATGTCATACTCGTCCAACATACCCGAAATACTGGGGATGTCGTCAAATGAGCCTCTAATGGAAATGATTGTCGAGAGTGTCCTATTTGGTGTAAGGCTAAATGAGATATTTCGAATATTAACTTGAAGTGATTATTCAGAGCATCCAAACGAAATTTTTCTCTCAAAGCAGCTTACATCGTGGCTGTCAAACGCAATGTAAGTTGTGTGCTCTATAGAAACCAACCGAAATTGCTTTTCTGATTTCGGCCAAAACTGAAACCAGACTGAAAGCCAAAAATGGCTGTAGGACCAAAACCGAAACCAAAAGCTTCATGAGACGTTCGGCTGAAACCAAAAGCTTAACGAGACTTTCTGTCGAAACCGAAAACAACAAAGCTTAACGAGACTTTCAGCCGAAAACGAAACCAAATGCTTTACGTGACTTTCGGCCGAAACAGAAAGATTTAGATATTTTATAACATGTTTGCATACGAGTTCCTTGTATATCGTGTAGTTCGCTAAGACACAATTTTGACTTGGAGGGGGTGGGGGGAGGCATACAAAATAGACCGCTGGGTGCCCCTTGCTTTATTATTATTTTAATTAAAACTCTACCAAGTCATATATGGTATCTATCGAAAGCTTAACCTGTCTTTTTGTTGTATTGTCCCAATAAATGTCGAGACATTAAAGGAGCTCTTTTTTTTTCGCGAAACCACACATTTTCTCAAGTATTAGTTACCAGGCTATTTTATATTTAACTACAATTAAACAAAAGTCCAACGAATGATTTGTCCAAGCAGTCGCATATTGTAATCATCCTCACCTTGTAAGCAGCCGTACCGTGTTAGCATCCACACCTTGATAGCATCTGCACATTGCTAGCATCTGCATCTTGTTAGCATACGTGCCTTGTTAGCATACGTACCTTGTTAGCATCCACACCTTGTTAGCAGCCGCACCTTGTTAGCATCAGCATCTTGTTGGCATACGTACCTCTTTAGCACACGTATATTGTTAGCATCGGCATCTTGTTAGCATCCGTACCTTGTTAGCATTTGCACCTTGTTAGCATCCGTTACCATGTTAGTCCCCGCATCTTGTTAGCATTTGCACCTTGTTAGCATCCGTACCTTGTTAGCATTTGCACCTTGTTAGCATCCGTACCTTGTTAGCATTTGCACCTTGTTAGCATCCGTTACCATGTTAGTCCCCGCACCTTGTTAGCATTTGCACCTTGTTAGCATCCGTACCTTGTTAGCATCGCCATTTTGAAAGCATCGGCGTCTTCTTAGCATCCACATCTTAATGGCATTTGCACCTTGCTACCTTTCGCACCTTGTCAGCATCGGCATTTTGACAGCATCGGCATCTTGTTAGCATACGTACCTTGTTAGCTTCCGAATCTTGTAAGCATTTGCACCTTGTTAGCATCCGTACCTTGTTAGCATCCACACCGTCTTAGCACGCTCACCTTGTTAGCATCCGAGACAACATTTCTGTCTCGTACTTTTTCAGGGCTCTGCTCTTCTGTTGTGTTCCTTAATAATTTAATTCACTTCAAACTCACAACAGTTTTGTTTTTTCTTTGCACCATCTAAACCGTCATCAATCATCAAATGTAGAATTTAATGGGTCGTATGACGGATGCCCACCCCACGCAAACAAAGGGTAGAAGGTTTGAATGCTTTATTTTACCCATCAAAACGTCTGTTTTGTAAAGTTTTCAATTAATTAAACTAATTAATTCCCTCTCCCATTGGTGAATAACGAATATCTATAGATGATTAATGGGTCATTCAGGTGTTGGAGATGAGTACAGTAATTAAGGTGTTTGAGGAAATGTCGACGAGGTTCATCGATTATTGCGTGAAGCGATGCATGTTAGAGTGTGAGACATTGTGCACTAGAATTCATAATGACTTTCAATGTTATCCGAAACATTTGGACTTTAATCCCACAGCTGTCATGATAGCATGAAGTTGTGTGCGTTCCAGATTGTGCTGTGTCAGTGTTTGAATGTACGAGTGTGAGGGTGTGATAGACATTGAAAGTGTCAATGTTAGTGTTAGGGTATGTCAGTGTTTGGGTGTCAGTGTTAAGGTATGTGTGTGTTTAGGTGTGGCGGTATTTGTGTCAGTGTTAAGTTATGTCTAAAGTTAGGTGGCTCGGTGTTCGTGTCACAGTGTCACAGTGTTTGGGTATGTCTGTGTTTAGGTGTGTCGGTGTTTGTGTGACATTCTTAAGATATGTCTGTGTTTAGGTGTGTCGGTGTTTGTGTCAGTGTTAAGTTATGTCTGTGTTTAGGTGTGTTGGTGTTTGTGTGTCAGTGTTTGGGTATGTCTGTGTTTAGGTGTGTTGATGTTTGTGTGTCAGTGTTTGGGTATGTCTGTGTTTAGGTGTGTTGATGTTTGTGTGTCAGTGTTTGGGTATGTCTGCGTTTAGGTGTGTTGATGTTTGTGTTACAGTGTTTGGGTGTGTCTGTGTTTAGGTGTGTTGATGTTTGTGTTACAGTGTTTGAGTATGTCAGTATTTAGGTGTGTTGGTGTTTTGGTGTGTCAGAGTTTGTGTGTTTCAGTGTTTGGTTATGTCGTTGTTTGAATGTGTCCCTCTCTCTGTTTTGACCTATTCATGTGCCCGATTGTGTTCATAAATATTGTCGATTGAGCCATTAAAACATCGATCAGATGCACCCTTATGAGAGAACTCATCCTTGTAGTGACACATCATTAAACTGTGCATTTAATTTAAAAAAAATATGTTCAGAATGAACTCGGCTACTGCTGCTCAAGAATAAAAAGGAGACCTGACTTGAAGAAATTTAATATTCTCTCTGACTACCTGCTGTGAATGACGTTGGGAATGACGCTACTCCTTCATATCGTTTTGCTCTCATTGTGGATCTGTTTCCGGTCAGCTCAGTCCGTTGCGGAAGACTTGAACGGTAACATTGGCGTTGGAATTTTGTTTAAGACAATAAACAAAATGCTTTTGAAATTGTTAACATCTATAAGGCAACACCGTATGTACTGCGTCCGCTATTGTCATAGATGTTTGTTAAGGAGTTTATTTGGTGTAGAGATTGATTATGAAGCTGTCGCCATTTAGTTTCTAATGTGCCGTATTCAGCTATTAGAGATGTCGGCATTGATGCTTGTGAATGAAAGGATTTGGTGTAGAGACTAATTGTGTAGCGGCTGCTATCTAGTTTGTTTTGGTTAACGTTTTGGCTTTGAGAGATGGCGCGTGTATTACTCTTTTTAATGAACGCGAACAAGTACCGTTAAATTAATATGTAGGGGGTGACAGGTGAGAAGGCTGCTCTTTAGGCTTCCACTTTTAAGGGACAATTAGTGTGGCTCACTGCAAAGGAAAGGTAATTTTTAAAGGGCTTCTGCAAGGGTGAAGGGTGACACATACAAATGCTATGTTTTTGACAGTCGCAGAGATTATATACAATTTTTAAAACACTTTAAATCTAATTATCTAAAAAGAAAAGGAAAGACAAGAGCCACTTTCTCTTTTTTTTTTGGGTTGATAATTATGAGTTATCTGCTCTTAGACGTGTCAACTCAATGCTATATCATATTCTTGTTACATATGATAACATCAAATACTGCCACCATTAACCTTTATCAAATGAACATAAAGGCTTTTCCCCAGTTTCATACACATGTCACCTGTTCAGTTAATTATTTAATTATGGTAGACACAATGTCATGTGAAATAATGTAAACAAGAGTGATCAAAAAGAAGTCACAAACATAACATATTGATACTTTTTCTCTCTGTGTAGCTCCGTCTGAAGCACTTGCGAATTTAGTATATCTCCTCAATGGCCAGTTCACCAATTTGGCCACCCTGGCCAAGGACGAGTATGGCCGCCTGGTCAGACCGGACTACCTCGTTGAGTGGGACATACAGTCAGTGGCACTTAACTTTTTTGACCCGGTAATTTAAAAACAAAATGTGTAACTTTTTTTTTTTTCCTTCTGCCTCTTCATCAATATATTTTGTTAATCATCTGGCAAGAAAGGTTTAATGAACGCGCGCACATTTCTTTCTGGGGAGTGCCATCGATTACATGAGTCAGATGTATTTGGCAGCTCATGGACTCGGTATTTTTCAATTAACTTTCGATAAACGCACAAATGAAATCCAGATAAAAACATATATATATATCCCAATTATATTTATTGTTAAACAGATAGCCGTGACGTCATTCACCGAAATAGACAATCAAACAACTGAAATGCTAAATTAAAGACTTTAGAGCAGGCGCGCACAACTCAAAATGTAAGGTGGGCCGTAATACTTTAGGAACAATTTGTGCGGGCCAGAAGGCAATTGGACAGGGAGGAAAGCTATGAATAAGATAATAATATAAGTAATATTTCGATACTTCGCGGGCCGCAAAGTGGGTGCTGGCGGGCCGAATGCGGGCCGTATGTTGTGCTTGCCTGCTTTAAACCTTTCTCGTTATCTCTGTGATTAAACTTGGGCGGATGTATAGTAATAAGCTCTGTTTTCAGTACACGCTACCGACATGATCTATGATCTTGTATTGATCTTATCAAGAATATAGCAATAATGTAAACATTGTTCTACAGTTGGGAATTTTGAAGTTCATGAGAATTGAATTTCATTGTTTGAGTAAACTAAACTTATGTCGAGGTATGTGGGAGTTTACTTTCCACGAAGTGATTTGTCTCACTATCTGAAGACTGGCAAGTTACCTTCCACGCAATTCTTGTCTCTCTTACTGAAGTCTGTGTCTGTCTAGCATGTTACGTTTGTAGACTGACTGCTGTCGTCTCCTATAACTCTTGGAACATTATTTATTAAAATAAAAACCAGACTGTTTCACCTGGTAATCACACGTTCAAGTGGAAGTCCACTGCACAGGTGTGTTTGAGCCTGCCGCCGTATACTATTACAATGATAAATAGTATCTAATTTTATAACGTTAATATTGAACATCTATTTTTTAATTTAAAGGTGACTACCATATACTTGGAGGAAAATATTGGAAAGAAACCCCTGTACCGTCAGATTATTACAATAAGAGACATTGGTAACGGACTATTTCTGCTACACCCCTACAACATAAAGGACGAGTTCTTCTCACAGTAAGAGAGTTGTTCATTGCTGCGTGTGTTGTAAATGTAGTTAGCAGATGCACATTTAGCATATGTATAGTTCGCAGATGTACAGTTAGATGTATAGTAAGTATATGTATAGTTAACATAAGTATAATTAGCAGATGTATAGTAGCAGATGTATAGTTTACATATTTATAGTTAGCAGATGTATATTTAGCAGATGTATAGTTAACAAATGTGAAGTTAACGGGATGTATATTTAACGGATGTACGGTTAGATAATGTTGACTTGAAAATGTACAGCAAGTAGACGTCTAGTTAGCATATGTATTGAAGTCTGATGTATAGCTGTAAGACGCATAACCATTTTAAAGTATAGTTAAATGTTAAAGGTTCAATTTTAGCTAGAGATGTTTTTAAAAAGGACGTGCTGATAATTGAATTTTTCATATCGCCTATTAGATTTATTTCATAATTTCATTACCAGTGGCGAAGCCCAACCACAAAGAGAGTTTTCATCTCTTAAAATGGAAGACCTGAGTGAACTGACCGAATGTGACACATTCGTGCAGCAGATAGACACGGCATTGTACATGGGATTCTGGCCGACATGTAATCCTGGGCAACATGATGTAAGAGAACATATTTGTATGGAGTTTACACCACGTCTATTCCACACTTTGACGCCATCTATGCCATCTATGCCATCTATGCCCTCTATGTCATCTATGCCATCTATGCCATCTACGCCATCTATGCCATCTACGCCATCTATGCCATCTATGCCATCTATGTCATCTAATCTATGTCATCTATGCCATCTATGCCATCTATGCCATCTATGTCATCTACGCCATCTATGCCATCTATGCCATCTATGCCATCTATGTCATCTATGCCATCTATGCCATCTATGCCATCTATGCCATCTATGCCATCTATGCCATCTATGACATCTTTGCAATTTATGCCATCTACGCCATCTATGCTATCTATGCAATCTACGCCATCTATGCCATCTATGCCATCTGTGCCATCTATGCCATCTATGTCATCTATGAAATACATCTATGCCATCTATGCCATCTATGACATCTCTGCAATTTATGCCATCTACGCCATCTATGCTATCTATGCAATCTACGCCATCTATGCCATCTATGCCATCTGTGCCATCTATGCCATCTATGTCATCTATGAAATCTATGCCATCTATGCCATCTATGCCAACTATGCCATCTTTGCCATCTATGCCATCTATGCCATCTATGCCATCTATCCCATCTACGTCATCTACGCGATCTGTGCCATCTATGCCATCTATGCCATTTATGTTATCTATGCCATCTATGCCATCTACGCCATCTATGCCAACTATGCCATCTATGACATCTATGCCATCTATGCCATCTATGCCATCTATGCCATCTACGCCATCTCTACATGGATCAGAGAGTTTGTTTGTCAGATTCCCGTTTATTTAAAAACAAAACCTCTTGACCGGTCTCTTCCAAGGTCACGTATTTTATGATCAGTGACGTGACAAAGGAATCAGACGCTTATGTCAATGAAGACAACGTTAGTGTCTATGTTTTTTTTTACAAATCATAGACACAGGCATTCAGAACACATTCCATGTCTGTGTTGAGGCATTTTGAGTAGGGGGGGGGGATCGGATGGGGGTGAGTGGAGAGCTGTTCCACAACATGCTTTTTTTTTATTTGGAGCTAGGTCTTTAGTCTCCTGTAATGTGAACAATACAGCACAAAATCTGAATACCAATGTAATGAGGCACTTGACCCGATTTGATTATTCCACGAACATTTCAGCAGCACTCGATTATCTAGTTTTTTTGTGACCAGTGTTATAAAATTTACTATTTAGGCTTTAAAATATAATATTTTGTTGTTAAGTATACTATTTAAGTTATAAAGGATATTATTTAGGCTATAAATTATACCATTTAGGTTTTAAAGTATACTTTTTAGCTTATAAAGTATACTTTTTAGGTAGTAAAGTATACTATTTCGGTTTTAAAGTATACTATTTAGCTTATAAGGTATACTACTTAAACCCTTACGCACGATGCCTAACCATATTCAGTTCTGACCCACAAAAGTTAGAGTTGGATTCTTCATATTATTTGCTTTAAAAGATTAATCATATGACAATCAATAGAGGTTGTTGTCATTTTGATCGGACTAAATGCCCTTACAAGAAGTCATTCCTGAATCTTTTTTGACAATACCAGACACTACTTTTCTTCTTCTCCATATGTGTGGCCAGTTTGACGTATCCTTGACTTTGAGTTGTCACATGGCAGCTTACATTGGCTACCCGAGGAACACAACAAAGAGTGAGAGAGAGGTGGTGCCCATGAGGAAAATAACAACACCGTAAGTATCTTTGATGGACGGACGGCTCTGAATGGATGATGTTTTAAATTTATCGGTAAATATCAGCTGTTTTTTTTTTTTTTTGCTAATGAATCGCTATGTTCCGCTATTGGAAAAAAAACCCAACAAATCTAATTAAATTATTGTATAAAATATGTTAAGTTTATCAGATTCAGTTCAAATGACATACCATCCAGTAGATAGATGATCCAATAGACCCATGTACACCTGACATTCCAAATGAAAGCCCAACGACTAAATCAAGAATGAAGAGGGAGTTGGTGGGTGTGGCAAACAAAACAACCCGATATCAAAAGTAATGTTCTTTGACAAACTTTAAAATCTGATTGATCTCCATCGTCTTTAACTAGTTTTCTTTTTTTTTAGGATTATAAAGCCATCATATATCTTTACTTAGAAACGTTTTATCGATTTCTGATCTGCTTCTAACGAAAACTTATTTTAAAAACAAATCGTTCAAATGTGTATTCTCCGGGACACCAATGCGTTAGGATATAATTAAGATTTAATTATGTCGCCGTCATGATGTCACTAGGATATGATTAAGCTGTATGTTATTTTGCTGGCACCATGACATTGCGATAAAGGTAAGCTGTCTTCATGTTACCTGCCAAACCCTGGCTCAGTGAGCCATGACGCCAGCTGGCTCACTCAGAAGTTGACAAGCGGGCTGGCAACACAGGACAACTGTTTTTTCAAACACAATGGGACCACCCCCCACCTGCTCCCCCACACCACATGCGCTCAGAGCCAATCAACCAAACTTACATAATAAATGTCAAGTAATAAATGTGAATAAATAGATCTCGAACGTAAACGATATCAATATTCAACTTCCAATATCCTTTTTTTAAAATATGTATGGCGGTAAGGGGGTTCCCATTAAAATTTTTCCACCGGTTTTGCTAAGCATTTACACATGTCTATGGATATATATTTACTATGAAATTGATTTGTAAGTAAACTAATTGTACATATATCTGATTAAGTTAGTTGTTCCTTATTTCCTTACACCAAAGATCGTTATTCTTCCTCCAGATATCCACCTCCTTACACGGTGATGGGGAGTGACCTCTACACCAACCCGTGTGAGGGTGGCAGTTAAAAATGTCGGGGCCAACAGTTTTAAAGAAAACAAACGATTTATTTAAATTAGGTTTTCATGCTATAATCGTCCGTTGATTAGCTGCTTTGAAAATCCTTTTCCATTATTCTGATGCCCATGTTTCACATCTATGATTTTTTGATTCGCACATGACTCTATTATTATTAATAAACGATGTGATATGTAAGTGTGTCCGCCCATGACTTTATTTATTATTAATAAACGATGTGATAGATGGGTGTGTCCGCTCATGACTCTATTATTATTAATAATCGATGTGATAGATGGGTGTGTCCGCCCATGACTCTATTTATTATTAATAAACGATGTGATAGATGGGTGTGTCCGCTCATGACTCTATTTATTATTAATAATCGATGTGATAGATGGGTGTGTCCGCCCATAACTCTATTTATTATTAATAAACGATGTGATAGATGGGTGTGTCCGCCCATGACTCTATTATTATTAATAAACGATGTGATAGATGGGTGTGTCCGCCCATGACTCTATTTATTATTAATAATCGATGTGATAGATGGGTGTGTCCGCCCATCACTCTATTATTATTAATGAACGATGTGATAGATGGGTGTGTCCGCTCTTTTTATTCATCGTACAGTTAACAAATTAAATCAACTGAAATAAGCTTAAAATAAAACATGTATTTAATGAAATGACCAAATAGTTGAAACAAGAAATACTATGAGACTGGTGAAATGTCTTGGGGACATATCGATATTACCGTTGCTTGACTTTCTTGAAAATGCCGTGGCAGACAGCGAAGGGAGAAAATGATGGCCGTGGACAAAAAGTTTTAGTTGTAAACAAGACTTTGACACAAAAAGATAACATTTTGGCAAGCAAGTTTATATCATTGAGCACTTTCAACCATTGGAGTTGAGCTATAACTATATTCAACATTGCAAACATCGGAGTATATTTTCAAAACTTACTTTTGTAAGAATTTGCTAACATTTTTAACTCGATATATTTTATGTTCATACATTACTATATTTAGAACCTATGTTCAATAATTATCATTTCACGTAAGCAGCTCCTTTGTTGAAATAAGTTTTTAAAAAAAGTAATGCAAGCTTTATTTTACAATATATTAAACAATTTAACTCTTAATGTATCTTCAAGCTGTCATGTATTTTAATTGGTTACTTGAAGAATTAAAATTCACTTTGACCCACTTCAGTTATTTCGCGTGTATGGATTAAGGTCTCGACCTCCTCAGATCTCAAATCAAAACTTTCGAGATCAATACATTTTGAGTTTCAAGATTACATTTCCGCTTCTAATGCGTCTTTCTTTATCCCCATTTCCTGAAAACGGAATATCTGTATTAAACAGTCCTCTACAGTCGGACGATTGAATAGTTGAAGTGTTAAATGAGCGGATGCGTGGGAGAAATTTTTTTTTTTTTTTAGCGATTGTTTCTTTTAAATATAAAATAATGATAGATATTTGAATTTTAATATATAGGCCCTATAAACAACGTATATAATTTCATAAATTTGTTTATAACAGTGATAAGAGGTTATACGTTAAATGACACACATGGTTGAAACAAAAAGGGCTCTCTAGGTTTTCATTTTCTAAAAGTACTCATTTTCTAAGTTAATTAATTTTTATTTCTCATAAACATTCGCTTTGAAGTAAAGCAATAAATACTTGAAAATGCAAAACCATATGAATGTAAATTTCCCTAACCGAAATTTTCGAAAAAGAGCTTTTTAAAAACAGATAAGAAATCGTACTTTTCGGCCCTAGTAGCCAAGCCTCTGATCAGGTTTTCTAGTTGAACGTTTCTTTCTGCGTACTTTATTTCTCAGCCTACTTAGGAAAGACCCTTGTGTCCCATTTTCACTCAAGTAGCTCCTTCAAAAAAATGACGTAATATGTGTGCAGATATTCCTTTGATGTTCTTCATATAAGTTGATGTGTAGGGAAGACATGCACAGCAAAAAGACACATTTAACGTCAATCTTAATTTTGTTTATGTAATAAAACAACAATATTTATTGGTATCGGGATAGACCTGGAGTCAGAATAGACTTGTACTTGGGATATACCTTGAGTTGGGATAAATAAAGGAGTGGGGATTTACCTGTTGCTAGAACAGACTTTTAGGTAGTCGGGATAGACAACGATTCGCATGAGGCAAGGGCTCACGCTAGACAAGTAGTCGGAATAGACAACGATTCGCATGAGACAAGGGGTCACGCTGGACAAGTAGTCGTGATAGACAACGATTCGCATGAGACAAGGGGTCACGCTAGACAAGTAGTCGTGATAGACCAGGAGTCTTAGTAAGTTCCATTTCGGTGTCCGCCATCTCAATTGAAATGAACTTGGATGTTTAATTAGTTTGTCCTGACCACGGTCACGTGCACCATAAAACACACTTGGGGTTTTCCAACTACTAAGTATCTCTAGCTTCATATTAATTAAGATGTGTTTCCGCCTCGTTAAATAGCCAGCCACTTATTGCAAAGATGGCGAGTTCATTTCTCAAAATATCTTAAGCCACTCTCGAAATCTCACTTGAGCTGGAGTGCTTTCGATCTGTTTGATGGATTAAGTATTCATTTCCCTGTCTGATCACCACGCTCACAGCGCTACTTCTGCTGTGCGGAAGCCATGCATGCAGTTTGGAGATCAAATATTATGAACACGTTTTAAAAAGCAAAAAAAAAAAAAATAATAAATAAATAAATAAAACGTGTTAAAGACATGAATATTGCTGGCAAAATAATATGTCAAAACTAACTACGTCACAAAAATGTTATCTCATGTATTCGAGATAAGCTTTGACTAAGTTCTGAGAATGACATTGACTAATTTCATATCAGGACATTGAATAAGTTCAGATCAGGACATTGAATAAGTTCAGATCAGGACATTGACTAAGTTCAGATCAGGACATTGACTAAGTTCAGATCAGGACATTGACTAAGTTCAGATCAGGACATTGACTAAGTTCAGATCAGGACATTGAATAAGTTCAGATCAGGACATTGAATAAGTTCTGAGAATGACATTGACTAATTTCATATCAGGACATTGAATAAGTTCAGATCAGGACATTGACTAAGTTCAGATCAGGAAATTGACTAAGTTCAGATCAGGACATTGACTAAGTTCAGATCAGGACATTGACTAAGTTCAGATCAGGAAATTGATTAAGTTCAGATCAAGACATTGACTAAATTCAGATTAGGACATTGACTAAGTTCAGATCAGGACATTGAATAAGTTCAGATCAGGAGATTGACTAAGTTCAGATCAGGACATTGAATAAGTTCAGATTATGACATTGACTAAGTTCAGATCACGACATGGACGGTGGCATATATTATATATTAAAAAGTTTGATTATTGAACTACGGAATCTGTTGTTCATAATCTTTGATAACATTTTCAAACTAGAAATTAAGAACAAACTTTCCCTTAAATTATCTTATGATGGTCAAGAAAGAGAGAAAATAAAAATTAGTCAAAGAACCAAGACAATTAGAATAAAGACACGACATTAGACGCATTCCGTTGTCCAAACGACGAAGTATTTGGTCAAAAAAGTTTTGTTTGCAGACCCAAAATGGTCTAAAGCAACAAGTATTTTGTTGGTTTAAAGCAACACTGTAAAGGACATTACTGTGTCCCCGAATTTAATCTCTTTAGGTTAAACTGAGACATTTAGCGCAAAGCTCGTATCGTTTAATTAAGTCGTCTAAAGATACAACACCACTGCGCCCATGCCACGTTACGGAAGGCCACATTTAACCAGGAGTCAAGGCTCCCCCATGCATGAGGTGCAGCAGAAGCTGCCACTGGAGGATCTGCCTCGTAAGCCATTTGATGAATTGTCAGTGGCTACGCCATCGCCTGGGGAAGACGGAAGGATGCCATGCACAGCAATACTGAGAGCTGAGGAATGTGATTGAATAAATTCTGATTCAATAAAGATGTCAAGGCTGCACGCAAGGGAACATGGGATTTGAAGGCATTCAGACCAGGCCTGAAATAGTTTGATATTATAGCCGTAAAGACTTCGTGAATTTCAAACAAACAAAAAAAAATACAAGAGATACACTTTACAAGGGATATCACTGAATATGAGATACCATTTCAGACGAGATACCCCTTTTGTATGAAATACCACTTTACATGAGATACCACTTGATATGAGATACCACTTTACATGAGATATTACTTTTCATGAGATACCACTTTACACGAGATATTACTTTACATGAGATACCATTTTAAGACCTTAAAACGAATATTCCATATGTCGGTTGATTCAAAATTAACAGTTTGTAATACTAAGATGCAGGAGAAAAGACAAATTGTAAAATATAACTCCCCCCCCCCACACACACACACAGACACACATAAAACTGTTCATATTTGTGAGAGCTAGTTTTTTTTATCTTGAATGTTATTGTAAAGTGTTTCTTTATTTAAATATTCATTATTAAGTGACTTCGGGTCACTTCAGGTGGCATTAGGTCATGAAAAAACAAAACACAAAGCAATAGTTAGCATTTAAGGCTTCACATCTTTTATTTTACAATCACTTTAAAACAAGTTTTAACAATATCTCATGGATACACATAATGGTCACGAGGGGAGGGGGGGCATAACGAGTTCACATAATCATCGGCACATATATAAACAGGGCGTGCAGACAAATATTTAAACTGTTTACATAATTTTTGACACATGCATAACAAGGCAAACATAAAACTATATAAAAAATTACAAATAACAATTGACATATACATAAACAGGACACACATACACGTATATGACAAGTCCATATAACAACAGGACACACAACAGCAACAAGTCCATCTAACCGTTAACACATGCATAAACAAGGCACAACTACATATATACAAAATATCCATGTAAAATAGACGCGAAAATAAACAGGGCACACACATAAAACAAGTCATAGACAAGACAAACAATTACTTTAAAACATCAAGTTTTCCTGTCTTTACGTGTCGATATTCAGATCCTGCCAGGTACTCTAGGCAATATTCTTGAACATATTTATTTTTTTTTATTCAACTTTCCGATAGAAATATATTTAACAGGAATCCAATGAAAAGCATCGACATTTTGTAACGTGCAAAAATAACTTTGAGGAGTATTTCAATTTATTTTGTTTTTAAATATTGAATTATCAGGAAATGTAACTTGTTAATTTACATTTTATTAATTTAAAAAGCATTTTTAAAAAGACGTTCACTATAAATTCTGGTCAGATATAAATGTAGAGACTATTATGAAATAATATATGATTTTTTTCCTCTAATAGCAGAGTTCGTCATAACTTATAATGTCAGCTTTCAAATCAAAGGATTATTATTTCACCCAATGCATTGTTAAAATATTAATTATTCACATTAATACACAAAACACATTATTGGTTATATTTAAACTAATTTAAACAATTAATACAATGAAACTTTATTAAATATTTGATATGTACATGTTCTATATATATCGTTTTGGAAAGTATAAGAATTAAAACAGAAATGGATATTTGATGGTCTTTTTAATAACGAGGGGCATCAAAATTGCATAGACGGGGTCTGGTCAAAAGACCATATACCACTAATGGAGATTTGATGGAAAGAATCGTGTTTCAAAAGTGAATGGATTCAATTATTGATTTAATTAAGATTGCATGTAAGGGTATTTTGAGACCGCCATTATAAACTCTGGAAATTATTACGAATACTACTAAATGATGTGGAGACTGCGCAACATCTGTGTATAAAGAAGCCATCTAGTGGGAACACAACGAAACTAAACTTAAACAACCCCTTAACAACCAAGTTTCTCTTGTAAATCCTCCATTACGTATTTTTGTTTGCATTTGTGTAGGGGTAACAAAAGGAGAGACTGCAATCAGGTTAGTACAGAATAAAATGAGTAAAACAGAGTAGGGTTAAACCTGAAAAAATAAACGCAACAAAACAGAAATCTAGTTTTCTTAAAAAGACTGTTTTGTCTGCGATTTATTATTTATGTGAGTGTAGTAACTGATATTTGGTATGGGAATGGTTTAATGTAAGCCCATACTAAAAATCAGTTACTACTGTGTTTAGAAATTCGATCAAATGTGTTTCACGGGCATCGAGTCTATGCGCCAAGTTTTTAGCTTGATATGATGACGGTAAGTGGGTCAGTTATCCTTCCGAAAATTTTGCCGCCCCAAAGAAAGAAAGGTAGAAAGAAACACACAGACACACACACAAGCGACGTTAATATTAAGGATTTTAAAAGTGAAAAAGAAGCCTCAAATGAAGTTACCTGCAAAATTGAAAGATAAGAAGGAAAGTAGCTGAATCAAGCTAAAAATTCTGGGAAAGGAGAATAGTGAATAAGGTAGTGCATATTAGCTAGAAGCAAAATGCAACATTGTTTGGGACTGAATAATCACACGAAAGAAACTGAAATGGTGATGCTAAATGCTAGAGTGTACATAAAGTATATATTTATTCTTAGGATTCACATTTGCTTGTATGTTTGTGTAGTATAGCATAGCAGTGTTTTTTTTTTTTAAAATTCAGCAAGCGTATCGTTGGGAATACGTTCATGAAATAAGAATGAGTCGGCGCATTGTTAATGTTGTTGGTGATGCTTGAGGTTTGCAATTAGATAAGCACGTTTAAAGTTGGCGATGAAGTTGTTTTATGTGTACACAAATCAAATGATTACATTAATAATGGATTTTTAATCTTCTTTTGCAAGGATATACGAGTAAAACACGTATAGTACAATGAAAGTTAACTTTCTCTGACGTTCCTTTGCAAGAACTAAGTGGTAAGAATATAAATACATAATATAAATACATACTATTGATACATACTATGAATACATAAAACACATTCATGAACCGAGTTTGTTTAAGTTGACAAAGTGCAATTATAAAACGATAACATTCATGTTTCTGTCATTGATTCCCTTTACGAAAAAGTTTTACCAATTCCACGTGTGGAAACCGGTACCCGATTGATATACTTTAGGAGCCAACATCTCTCCAATGACCGTAAGAGATAAAATTTGATGTATAACATTGCTGTAATAAACTTTGGCCTTAAATACAATTGAATAACAAACATGTCCTAACCCCCAATCGCGCTACACAGACTGAATACAGAACTTGAATGGTTGGGGCGCCTTTGTCAAACCATAAACCCCTTTTAATGAAGGTAGCTCCTCTTTCCCATCTACCCGCGGAGCGCTAAATTGAAACCTGGACAAGAGACCCACAACGAATCCTAGCAATTCTTTCTTGGCCACACTGACTCCCGGGCACATTCTTTTCCCTGGGGGAATAAAAAACATGACATGACAAAGAGATATACTTGAATGCATTTATCCTTCTTCTATTTCAACGCTTGCTACCCGGACCGAATGAGCCCAGCGTTTATTTTATCTGCTGGCTTTACCAGTGTCAGATTCATTCAGCCATGGCTCGTTGCTGAAGCGTGGTTCAGAAAGAAACGTGGAATCTGAAGGGGAAGCCTCTTGGAAAAAGATAATTAACATCTTAGAAAGCATTAGGGGCCATAGTGCAGAGTTTGAATAGACGAATTAGTGGTGGGAGGGGAGGAAGTGGTGGGAATTGGGGGGGGGGGTGGAGGAGGGGGGGGAGGGGGGGGGGGGGGGGAAGGGGGGGGGGTGGGAGGGGTGGAAGAATTGGGAGGGGGGAAGGGCTGCTCTTTGTACACTTAAAAAAAAAAAAAATTGAGGTAAATAATCCCTTAACGAATGTAGCATTTATTAGATCTGAGATTGTGTAATCTAAATAAAACAATTTGATACAATATACATATGTAGAAAGACTTATGAGAGGGCGCCTGACGCCACCCTGTGATGGGTAGGAACGATTTAAGATCGTTAATGTAACCTCCGATAATTGTGGAAGTTTGTTTGCTGCTACTGTAGGAGCCTCACTACAAAACCGGCCATCTGCTCCTAGTTTAAAGCCCCCCCCCCTCGGCTCGTCAATCGAGTGGCCTGCGGGCGGGTGCTATCTCAGGGGCCGAGTGCTCCAGGCGGGCTGTTTCGGGATCCGATATTCGCCTTTTGGCTGGGTGAGGAAAGGGTGTGGGGGTTCACAGGGAAGGGTGTGGGGGTCCACAAAGAAGGGTGTGGGGGTCCACAGGAAAGGGGGGGGGGGTCCACAGGGAGGGGTGTGGGGGTCCA